TAAATATACTTATGTATTTTTAAATACATACATATTATAGATAAATTACAACCAGACGCAGAACAAATGACCGTGCTCGTCACACAATACTTATATGAATGCTTTCGCCATTTAAGTTCGCTTGCGATGCAGGACTCACTAACTAGGTTGCATATCATTACACATCTACTTAGATAAATTTGTTTTTTTTTATTTGGCAAGTTTACACACAAAGACCCTAATGGTCTTTGTGTGTAAACTTGCATAAATGTCACGTGTTAACCTGTGGATTGGGTCGCTCTCTTTCTATCACAGTAGTTACCGAGATGATGGCTGTTCTAGGTATAAACGGTTGCTTCTTTTGGCGTCTTGTCGCCCTTGACGCGCTGATCTTTCTTATTAAATTGACGAAACGTGGTATCTCGTAATCCTCATTATCTTGTTTTACCAATTGTGCATCAGTTTCAATTCCATCACTTTATTTCTAAGTATAAATTGGTGGTATTCAGTGGTACTATCTTAGACACCTTATTAAACAGCATATTTAAAACGTAAAATAATGTTCTGCTGATAAATTTGATACAAGAAAAAGCTTACTAAGAAGAATATTACTTACCTTGAGTGACCTACTTAATTGCACATCTACTATGTTTAAATGAAATGATATTTATTTCTGCAAGTAAATCTTTTCAGATATTTTTACAAGTCGGACTTAACAGCTAGATGGAGCTGGCATTTCCTAAGACTCACTCTGGGAAGAAACGCCGAAGTAAACCATAGAGGTGTCTTTTTTTAGTCTGTAAACAAAGTTAAAGAAAACTGTGCAAGTACAGTGTAGGGTCTGGGTGGGCCTTTCGAAGAAGGGACCATAGTTAAAAAAAATAGCTGCGGTCCCATGTAAGTAAACAGATATTAATCAATTTAGCAGTAGTCAGTTTTTTACAAGGCCTCTGTGAAACACGCGCTCGTACAAACTAAAACATTGCTGATATCAAAACACGTGATAGGTTAAAACAGATTTTTTGTGTGTTTTGTACAATAACATATACATTGATAATAAGCATTATAATATGTAAAAATAGTAATACATTTTTAGATCAAAAATTCAAAACACTAGCATGAGCTACATTTTAGATGACAATGTCATTCATTTAAGTGATTAATTTAAGGAGATTAAAATGTTTCAGTCTGTGAATGGTAAACGCTTTACTACAATTTGTGTATCTTAATTTTGGCTTGATTAACATTGAAGCCTTTATAAGCCAAATCATCATCAATCATCAACAGCCTTTACTAGGCAAAGGCCACTCCTTAGAAAGTAGGTTTTGGCCTACTATACTACGCTGGCCAGAGGGGTTGATATCGGGTTTGTTTCAAGATTTCCTTCTTTTTGCAGTGCTGTTATCATGCGTAGTTTGCTCCCTTAGTCGGCTGTTACGATACTCACGGGATGAATAAGGGTGATGACACTTTGTATTCTTAATCCGTCACTACACGTATGTACAAAATATATAAAATAAAAAATAAATTTTATTTATAATGTAAATTTACGAGGTAGTTTTCATAAAAGTTTTGGATAGTGCTCCCTATGCTGATTTTTAACAATTTTAAGAGGAGAGAAGAAATAGAGACTGTTTCTAATATTCATAATATCTGAATAGGAGATTATTCAATGGAAAAGAGACTGTTTCCTGAGACTTAAAGGTGTTTGCTTTTAACTTCAGACCAGATTAAATACATATGAAATGATGATCTTTCTCAATCCCTTTTTTCTCCTTCCTCATTTTTTCTTCCTTCCTGTTTTAAACCACTTGTACAAGTCAATTACAGAGGGTAATAGCACACGCTAAATATTGTTGATTATAAAATACATATTGTGATTATTACGGTGTGTGTACGGACCGTATTGCGGTATTGTTCAATATTATTATGGATCTCCAGAAATTCTGATTTTGACATGTCAATGTCGAGGAGAGGCAGGGGTTAGGGACTTCCTTTCTAGGGTATACCTGGTTCCCCGGCTATTAGTACCCGAGACGGCGTGCAGTATTAGTCGGTTCGAGTCCTACTTGCCACCGACAGGTGGTAACCGAGGGGATTTCCGCACGGAAAAAAAAAAGAAAAAGGGGTATTGCCAATAATACTGTCGTGTGCGGGCGAGTAGAAATATTTTAGTAGATAAAATGATTTCGAGGCAGGCGGACGTTCGTGTTTATATTTAAAATGTAGAAAAAAAACATAATCCATAGCAACAATAGGTACTAGTTGATTAGTACTTCTACGATAAACCAATAAGTATCAGTATTTATTAAAATAAGGGAAACTTATCCAGAATTAAGACAAACACCCTTTAAAGCATATCGTGATAATGTTTGGAAAAATAATGAGCTTGATAAGTTACTCGATATTTAAAAAAAAACCGACACCTGGACGTATTATGAATTCCTGTTTTTATCAAATGATGAGCAATTAGTGAAAAACTACGGAGGATAGCATATATTTTAGTTTTTTTTTATACTTTCACTGTAGGATAGCTAGTGAAGACAAAAAAAAATGTATTTTAATTAGAAATGTACTGACAATAATTAAACTTTGCTTTTTATCTCATCCATATTTTATCTCATCCACACCGTACATGCATCAATTCGATCAACGAATTTAAAGTTCGTTGATCAAATTGATGCATGTACGGTCAGCCTAGCCGCACCTACACAATAAAATTGACAATGCAGGATTACCAAAAAATATCTTCAATATATGGCCCACTCACTACAGAACATAATTGTTAAATTTCACGACGCAATGCAAGGGGTCGTACATGCTACTTCTTACAAGGACTGAGGTAAATTTCTGGATGATACGGTACTTTCTGGTGAAAGCATAACTATTTTATGAACCTTTTCTAAATATTTTCAATCGTGTGTGCATATTTTTGGTAGCCAGGATTCCAAACTTCACCTGCATACTCTAAACGGACTCTAAAAAAAAAAAAGGTGCAATGCAGAATTTTTAAAGTTTTGCCTGTTTGAAGCCCTTAGACAGTCGCATTATGAATCTTAGTGTTTTAGAAGCTCTAGCTACGATTGCATTATGTTTGATGCTTTCTTAATTTATGTAACATACATTCTTCTCCGAAAATATTATTAATAAGTTTTTTTAAGCAATTTCATAATGCTAAAAATACAGACGAAACAAGTTTAAAACTGACATATATGTTGGTGCCTTAGTCGTAAGGGAGTCTCTAAAAATATCTAGTAGGAATTGATGGGTTCATTGTCCTAAGACTTTTTCAGAGGCAGTTTAGAATATTCAACAAAGTTTTAAAATGAATCAGCTAAGTATAGGTCCTACATGGGCTTTTCAAAGGAATTAAGTTTCGATCATTTACTACTGGCGAAACCTTACTAAAGACTAATTTATTTATTCATTTCTTTTCACATCATGCACATTTGGTGCATTGGCAGACTTAATGCCTCAGGCATTCTCTACCAGTCAACCATTGGGTGATGCAGAGAAAACAGGAAGTAGGTGCATTATAGTTACAGTTGATTTAGACATTTTATATTGTATGTATACTTTGCAAAAAATCATATAATATATACCCATATACAAATCTGTCATATACTACACCTATTATTAATAAATGATAATTATGTACTGCTAAAAGTGCTAAAATATGTACTAATAAGTATTTCCAACGCTCTGTAAGCTTAGAAGTACCGTCAAACCCTTCCTGCCATAGATGTGGTGTGTTTCGGTCACAACTACGACATAAAAAATTCTACGGCCCTCCTCAGTGGTATTTAGAGATATTTTTACAATGCGGGAAATTAATAAGACTGTACGAGACAGAAGATTATGACTGTTCTATAATGACTCTCGTCATGATCTAAAACCACACCGGTAATTGAATATAATGTAATGTTATTACTAGTAAGTAATAACAGTAAGAGTAGTTCAGGATTTGTGATATTCAAAATGTTTCGATGTAAAGTCGTAAATAAACTTTAAATCGTTAAATCATAAGTCACGTAGGTACTTATTTACTTTACGAAATATTAAACTTTATAGTAGCGCAAAAAACTCTATTGCAATACAGCAACACAGATTGACAATCGCTGATTTTATTGAAAGAGCCAGGCTTTGAAAGAGGCGATGTAATCTTTTAGTAATTACCGATATTCTCGCAAAGTTTAATTTAACTCCTTAAATGGGATAACTGTCATCCACAAATATAATGTGATGGTTCTACAGCAGCAAATGGCATCACAGGAGTGTTGTTTTTTTGCTTATTTGATGCTATATGCAACTGATGCTATACTTTGAAAGAGCCGGCTCTTTCCTGCCACGAAAATTGAAACTTTGAAAACATTCTTTTAGGTTTAGTTTATTGTTCTATTTTATGTCTTCGCAAGCGTCCACTACTAAAAAATGGGTAATAATGGTCATGATAAAAAGTTTTACATATTTCTACATATTTATGTAAATAACATGTCGTAATACTCGTATAATGTATGTCAAAATGTTCACAATAACCCTTGTTATTTTATTTGTAATTGAAACACTAATTACTTTACAAATAAATCTATACTATTTAAAGGCACCTGATATAGCCTGAACTTGATAATTTTACCAACATCAAATAGGCTTAAAGTGACTTAACTATGATTTGTAAGCCCATGGGCTTATAGTGTTATGACTTTTTTTGTAAGTAAATACCAGCAAAACAACAAATATACCTAATTCACTCACCATCACCACTAAATGCACGTTCAAACCGATTAGCGGTCAATAGAAGAAAAAGAAATCGATCGCGGATATAGTTCTACAGAAAAATCAGTGAATCGCGTTCACCTTGTAAACTAACAAATCATATAGAAGATCAAAGCTTCTTTGTTGCAAAATAATGCAAATGCCGATGCTTAGAACCATATACAGACGAAGAGGGTCGAGTATATAACGCGGCTCGTTTATTTTATAATCACAGTTACACATCGTCTGTTAACTTTGACACACACAAGATGGTGAGTTAAGATTCGGTTGCATCATGGCAGTGGTATTTGAGAGCGGCACCCATGTGACCATTAAATAACATACCTGTTCGTTTACAATTAAATTTAAATTAAATACTTGAGAAAACGTTGTGCTCAAACTGTGAAATTATAACCGAAATTAATAGTTTACAATTATATTTCAAAATTGAAATTAATTTATAAAAACTTACGAAGCTATTCGAAGGAACTAATTAAAGTTCTTAGGTGTAAAATTTATTAAAAAAGTGATTTTACAGAAATCTTTTGTCGCCCTTTTCGCCATCGTGGCCGTTGTTGCCGCAGACGTTTCCCACCTGAAAGGAACTGAAGCTGATGCCGTAATTGTGAAACAAAATGCCGATGTTTTGCCAGACCAGTATTCCTACGAATACGAAACCAGCAACGGTATAGCTGCACAAGAAAGGGGTGCACTCAAGAACGTCGGTCGTGTAAGTAATTTTTACATAATATAATTAATTAAACACCAAACAAGAAATATAATTTTATATTTAATCGTCAAGGTGAAGAATAAAATCAAATATTCTCCCCAAAAACCCGTATCATCAAAACCTTTTAACAGTCCACTGCTGGACATATGCCTCTCCTTAGATAGGAGGTTTTGGCCTACTACACCACGCTGGCCAGATGGGTTGATATAGGGTATACGAAAAATATACGAAGTAATTATAGACCATTTTCTTGATTATAGTTCTCCAATCATAGTTATTAATATTCTAGAATTACTAGATTTACTATGTTTAGAGATATAATTATTAAAATGTGATATCAATAAAACATATGATACGAATAAAGATTTTTTCTAAATGTGTCATAATTTAATAAATTACGACAAGAGGACAAGGCCCCGTCGTTGACATTTAGATACCAACAGATGATCTTTCGTAGAAAATATGTTAATCTATTTACACACAAAACCTTAATTTTTACCTTAAGGTTATATGCAATAATAGATAATAACATTTTTTCGCCTAATTGCCATTGATTTAATAAACAACAAATATAAAAGATGTCATTAATTAATAATATTTTTTATATAATGCCTATGTAAAAAATTGGCCTAGTAAAGGCTGTGTGTGATGTTATGTTCCATGATTTGTCGAACATTTGTCTTAAAAGTAATGTTTGAATATAGGAGGACGAAGCCATTGAAGTTCAGGGATCCAACAGCTATCGTGCTCCTGGCGGCGAACAAATCTCTATCAACTACATCGCTGATGAGAACGGATACCAACCCCAGGTAAATAAATACAAATATTATAAAAATAACATTGCTATTTAGCGTTTATTCGACAGATAGTCTTTAAATAAACTTCATGTCTGCCAATTAACTACATTTATCATTATTATAGTATTTATTGATTGACAAGAATATTGTAATCTAATGTAATTTTTTTAATTTCAGGGTGCACATCTTCCCACCCCCCCAGCCCCCCAGCCCATTCCTGACTACATCCTTAGGGCTATTGAATACATTAGAACTCACCCCCCTAAGCAAGAGAAACCCTAAGTCAATAGACTATAAGCAATAACACGAAAACATCTCTAGAACTACCACTTTTACCTCTAGTCTCAACATGAAGTTGAATTTTTATTGAAATATAAATAATTTTCTCACAGCCTTTGGTTTCATTTGTTTATGTGTTCCGTAACGTATTTATATTTTTACCTTAAACGTATTTTTGTTTTAAAAAAGTTATTAGGACCCGACTAATTACTTTTTAAATCACAGAAATGTTTGTAAAATAAAAGTAGATTGAGTTACTCTTTATAACATCAGCTATGTGGCAGTGAATATCCTGGGAAGTCGATCCATTAATTCCTAAGATAAGTTGGGACAACAACAGACTGACAAAAAATTTAACGGTACTTATATCAACATTTTTGACACGAGTACCATGTAAACGTCTAAAAGCGTCTAAAAGCGTAAAAAACTGTTATTATAACAACAAAAACACATTTCAATGTTATTTATTTGTATAGTTTTCTAAATAATGTGTATGAAAATTTATATCTTAACCATATATACATATAAGTGTAGGTGTCACAGGTTTATTATTATATCAGTTGGGTTAACGAATTTCATGTTATGGAACAAATTTTCAATAACACTGATATAAGTAGCTTGAACAATGTTCAATGAAGAAGATCATTGAAGGAACAAAGAACCCTGCTCAACAGTAAAATACGAGTAGCAGGGTGGCGTTAAAAGCTTCGTAAATTCAACTTCACTTCGGTTAAGTGTTTAAATGTTTTGCATGCCATATATGCCGATAAATATGCTTGGTCACGCCATATACTCATCAGGTAAAAGGGAATTTGTATGTGTTTTAATTGTTATATTTGTTCTAATCTTCAGTTCAGTTCAGTGTTGATAATATCAGTCGAATAGTTAAACCCAGTAAGGTTTACAAATAAACAAACAAATATGCATTTATTCGCAATTATTAGCAAATTCAAAGTAATCGCATAAAAGAGTCCTCAAAGTTTATTATAGTTTTCTGTGTAATTCATAAGTGTTATTCTTATCCAACAACGTATTTCAGAATATAATATCTATCATACGTTCATCTCTCAATCTAGTCAAAATTAATCCACATTGAGTCTCGACTCTCAAATGCAGCTGTCGTATATGTCAAAATTTACTGTTTATATGACAATGCAATAACTAGAGATTGTGTAAATAGAGTTACGCTATGTATAAACACGGATTTATTCATTCAAATTGAATAGAAATGTTTTCTCATTGTTTACAGACTATCTGTAATGTATACGCTACTACTGGCTTTTTCTGTGGCTTCATTCGCGTTAGTGTCTATTTTGTCAATTATTTCACGAATCTTTCTAGGATATTTTCTAAATGAAATGTCCTTTTCTGCACCCTTCCATCAAGTGTATGAATAACTTTATGATGTTCGGTTGAGCAATTAGAGTATGAAAGCGTTACAAACAAACAAGTGCATTGCTTATATTAGTTACTGTAACAAAGCAAATGTTGTCATAATCACTATTTTTATTCCTCTGAAAAAAAAATACACTATTACAACATTTCATAATTTAGCTCGAATTGTATGATGTAATTGCAATCCTAGAAAAGGTAGGTGACCTCTATATTACATTATACAATCATGAGAAGGTGTGTTTATTGATTTGTCCTTCCTTGACAGATTACGCATTTTTACATTAGAATAGAAATGGAGGTTGTTAGTAGATAAGTCGTTTCGTATTTCAAAAGAATACTAGCAACGTTGATAATACTTATGCGAGTAGTTTACGGTAACTCTTCCAGCTAACCTTGTAGCACTATGAGGTTCGAACCCGTAACCACTGTTATATAATGGTAATATAAACAGAACATAAATTAATAGAAAATATGAGTCTGTACGGATATTATTTATTAGATTGTGTCTGTTATGAATAATCCTACAAAAGTTTGTTATAATATTTCCAGTTACTGTAATTTAATGTAAGTGTAGTAAAGAGAACAATAGATATTGTTACTTTCTACGTTTACAGACAAAGACTGGCCCACGCTAACGTAATATGTAGGTAAATCGCGAATCTAAAATTCCTCGGATCGTCTCGGTTAATATTAATATTGACCCCCGTTTGGCTGATTTTAAAGCATCATTTAACAGCTTCAGAGTTACATCATCAACATTGGTGATTATTAAGAAATGTTTAGATATGATTGCAGTTGTAAATATATGAATATTATTATGATATAAGCATCAATAAGGAATAGTGACAAAGCAATAAACACTTTATGCTATAAAGGATATCGAGACGGAAAAGAGGTACCCACGTAAAAATTAAAAACCTAAAGAATTTGTTTGTTTAGTTAAACGCGCTAATCTCAGAACCCATGGTTTTAAATTGAAAAATTCTTTAAGCATAGGATAGCCCATTTATCTAAGAAGGCTATATGGTTTAAAATATCACGTTACGATCAACAGAAACTAAGCAACAATGAAAAATGATGCAAAGACGGATAAAATTTATTCCTTTTGAAAGGCGCAACCAAGTTGCTCGGGTCAGTTAGTCGTATAATGGTCTATTGAAAAAAACTGTCCAAACATTCAAAGTTACGCTACTATTTTATTTTATTGACGAATCCTTTTTTCATACAGTTTCAATGTTTAAGAGTATGTTAGGAAAGTATTCAACTTCTAGAGTGTATCATGAAACAAAGACCTTGTATAGTCTTTTTAAAAAAAATGAAGTTTGGAAATGCCAATGGTGTATTTTTAGAAGTTTTAACACAATTTTTTCCATGAATTATATATTCCCTATGAACACATCCCTAAAAACATACATGCCAAAATATGAAAATTTGCCAACTTTGCAGATAACAATTAATAACAAGCGTTTCAAAAATGTTTGCGAACTTAGTATTTTGTCCTGTTATGTTTATTTTACACTTCAATATTACACCATTCATGGTTAAATTAAACGTTTCAGATATGGGTAAGACTATTTTATACATGAATTGATCTAGACATCGAAATACCAATAGGTCACAGCAAACGGCCTTGCGGTTCATCCTTATCTCGTGTGAAATCACTTTCAAATGGTGTCTATATAGTTACATTTATTGCAGGTCTGTACATACATAAACTTGACAAGTATATGAGTCATGAGAGTATAAGAAAGATCAGACGATAGAATAAAAACTATTTTATTCATATTTATAAAAAAATTACTTACATTTGTGTTTCGGGAATTCCCGACTAATCTAGATATCGATAGCAACTCTTTGTTAAACAACTTACGCGTCAGTGTCACACGATTTTACACCTTTAAAATCTTGACGTGAGAATAACAGTATATCTAAAACAAAGCACTTGTGTATCTGTCAGGTGCACGTATAATCAATAAATATATGTATTAGTATGTATGTATATACAAACATAATAAGGGAACACACACTCGAGATTCATAATAGCTTCAGTGAAACCAGAACAAAGCCTGATCCTGACGTACACTGGCGGCTGCTGTAGTGCGGGGGAAGGGTTGTGTGCAAATATTGTCTCGCAACCAACAGGCTTCATTAGCAATGAGTGGGTAATTAATTTCACTGTTCGACGGATAAAGGTTGGATGTATGAAACGGTGTTGATGTTTCTTTGGGTGGTCCAACAATGGCCATTTTATAGCTATTTTGAATTTGATGTAAACTGGGATCACATTTGCAAAGGCTTTCTTATAAGAAATTATTTTAAAGTTACCATTGAGTAAATGCAGTAATTACGAAAGTTTAAGATTTTTGTCAAATAATCAATTGAATTTAAGCCGAAATCAGTAACAACAATATGGGGTCCCTTTTTATGTCGCTGTATGAGTGTGTTACCATTGTCACTATAACAAGACATTTCTATGCACACAAGCATAGATTTGCATGCACCCTACAGTAACAAAGTTTTCTGGTTTGCTTTAGCTGTTTTATAGTATTATACTACATCCAGACGTGTCAATATGTGACTATAAGATCATTTATAAGTAGGTTCTTTAAATACGATATAACATAGGACTAATGAATCAATGCGACACAGAGGATATTAAATATTGTTATACAAGTTATATAACAACATAATTAAAATTTAAAGCCATTATAACACGAGGAAACCAATAATGGTGGTAATGTAAGCGCCCAGTATAAAATTGTTGGCAATACATGAAAACTCATTTAGTCGTCGCAAAACCGCAGAGGGCGTCGAGTAATTCCATTAACTGCATTTCGAGTGGCACTCAAAGCGTTCGACTTATCGAATTTGGCGTTTGCGCCAAATACGCATGAAATGGAAATACATAGAGTTTAGGCGATGAAATATGCACTGGTCGACGTAGACGTTTGTTTAGTTTCGAGTATTCTAACACTATGGCCAAACTGAACCTGTAACTAGTTCGTATCTATGTATATTACCTACAAATCCTTTGCCTCAGGTATACATATATCCTATTTCTATGTATTAACGCAAGACCGTCTTAGGCTATGCTGGGGCCCCCAGGCACACAAGAATTTGGGACCACTACAACTGGTAACCATAAAGCAGAAAAACATTCTAGTAGCAATTTCTACTTTTGAATTTTCTTCTAATTTATCAGGCTTTACTTATTAGTTTATTTAAGTTTGAACTACTCAACACACCACCATCTTTTTTCTCAGCGACAGCGTTGTCCCTGTCTTTACGGAATACTAAATATCATTGATCGATAAATTCGTTGTTGAATATTTCTGGTACGAGCCAGGTTTCAGTAAGAATAATAACGTCATGGCAGTTAAAGAAAATATTCATATAAAGTGAATTTAATTTAGTTCTGAGCCCTTTGCAGTTTTGATAATATAATGTGATGTTACTGTTTTTACTACACTACTTTTCGTAGTTGGAAACCACCGCGGCAACCACTGGCACGGTGCATGAGCCCTTAAGCATATAATTAATTTTACACATTTAGCTCATAGCAACACAATTCTACGTGTTTACATACCACATGTATTGTTTAGAATTAA